TTTTTTTTTTTTTTTTTTTGCTATAGGGCGCGTGCACTCATGAGAAAGACAGACAGAAAGCAAGAAATCACCCCCCGGGGGGGATGGCCACACCGCAACCCCTTCTCCTCCATTCTCCTCTCGGGATCTTGAGCACACACGCTCACATGCCCGGCGTGAGTTTAAGCCACCAGGTCCGTGGTTGACTACATGGGAGTCCAGTGACATAGCCATTATGCCAACTGCTGGTCCCCAAATAAGTGTATTTTTTACTTCCTTGCTGGTGGTTTGAAGGGGCAAGTGATCAGCAAGCATATACAGGAGGAATTTATGATTTTCTTTCCAGGACAGGGATAGTCTCCCTCTTCCACGGTCCTTTGATCCTCATTGTTTTTCCCTAGTTTCCCTCTTATTTCACGTTCAGAGCACATGGGCGCCAAGCGAGATTACATGCTGTGACAGTAACTGGGGATTTTATGATGTGCAAGACTGAGCCCCCAACAAGAGGATGAGATCCATGGCTTTCCTGTATCTCCCCAAGCTCAGAACACAGGCATCTGGGAAATATGAAAGGGCTTCAGAAAGTTCATGGGAAAAGGAAACTAAAGTGCAAGTTTATTTTGGTGTGAACATTTTGAAATCCTTGCATAATTTATTATTATTATTATTATATGCATTTCCCATGAACATTTTGAAGACCTGCCATAGTAGCACTATGTGATGACAGTCAGCAGGATGGTGCAGTTGTTGATGTAACAGCCTTTTTTTTTTATAGGTGTTTATTTGTTTTGCCATAGGACACGTATGATTTACTGGAGAAAGACAGAAATAGAAAGAAAGAGAGAAAGTGAGAAATCACTCCCCAGAGGGATGGCCACACCACATTCTCTTCTCCATGTTTCTCTTGGGATTTGGGGCATGCACGTACACATGCCCGGCATGAATTTTAAGCCTAAATGTCTGGGACTTTAACCATAGTCAACCAGGTGGGAGTTCAACACCTTCACCACCATACCACCTGCTGGCCCTGGGGTAACAATTGTTAAACACATTTGTTCTGCGTTTCGTTTGGTGACATTTTTCAAATATCATTGACCTAGGTACCTCTTAGTGGCAGTTTCCCTTATGCTTCAGAAACACAATTATGATTTCTTACAGTTTGTCAGGGAGCCACCGGTGATGTGGATGGGGCACAGATTGTCTTTACAGAAAGCAAGAAATCACCCCCCGGGGGGGATGGCCACACCGCAACCCCTTCTCCTCCATTCTCCTCTCGGGATCTTGAGCACACACGCTCACATGCCCGGCGTGAGTTTAAGCCACCAGGTCCGTGGTTGACTACATGGGAGTCCAGTGACATAGCCATTATGCCAACTGCTGGTCCCCAAATAAGTGTATTTTTTACTTCCTTGCTGGTGGTTTGAAGGGGCAAGTGATCAGCAAGCATATACAGGAGGAATTTATGATTTTCTTTCCAGGACAGGGATAGTCTCCCTCTTCCACGGTCCTTTGATCCTCATTGTTTTTCCCTAGTTTCCCTCTTATTTCACGTTCAGAGCACATGGGCGCCAAGCAAGATTACATGCTGTGACAGTAACTGGGGATTTTATGATGTGCAAGACTGAGCCCCCAACAAGAGGATGAGATCCATGGCTTTCCTGTATCTCCCCAAGCTCAGAACACAGGCATCTGGGAAATATGAAAGGGCTTCAGAAAGTTCATGGGAAAAGGAAACTAAAGTGCAAGTTTATTTTGGTGTGAACATTTTGAAATCCTTGCATAATTTATTATTATTATTATTATATGCATTTCCCATGAACATTTTGAAGACCTGCCATAGTAGCACTATGTGATGACAGTCAGCAGGATGGTGCAGTTGTTGATGTAACAGCCTTTTTTTTTTATAGGTGTCTATTTGTTTTGCCATAGGACACGTATGATTTACTGGAGAAAGACAGAAATAGAAAGAAAGAGAGAAAGTGAGAAATCACTCCCCAGAGGGATGGCCACACCACATTCTCTTCTCCATGTTTCTCTTGGGATTTGGGGCATGCACGTACACATGCCCGGCATGAATTTTAAGCCTAAATGTCTGGGACTTTAACCATAGTCAACCAGGTGGGAGTTCAACACCTTCACCACCATACCACCTGCTGGCCCTGGGGTAACAATTGTTAAACACATTTGTTCTGCGTTTCGTTTGGTGACATTTTTCAAATATCATTGACCTAGGTACCTCTTAGTGGCAGTTTCCCTTATGCTTCAGAAACACAATTATGATTTCTTACAGTTTGTCAGGGAGCCACCGGTGATGTGGATGGGGCACAGATTGTCTTTAAAGAAGTTCAGAAACTTTTCAAAAGGAAAAATAATCAAATTGAACAGTTCTCAGTGAAAAAGGTATGTTGGAGCATATTGATCTGATGTATTATTTATGGTGGACAGTTGTACCCGGCACCATCTTGAGCAAGTTTTAGGAAATCATATTCAAAGCTGGCAGCTTCCTTGCCATGTAAAATGCAGTTCCCCACCGTGGAGAGAATTTACTCCCATGACTATACTTTCTGAATAGAAAGTACTTGTTTTTGCTGCAAATAATAAAAGTAGGGGTTTTGTTTCTGTTTTTGCTTTTAAAATGAGTAGAGACACTGCAGATCCTGCCAAGCTAATGCACTCATCTGGAGAGGGAAAGTATTTGTCTAAAGAATTGGGTAGTTTCAGAAGAATACAAATTGGTAAAGTCTCATGAGAGATGCCGACTGTCTGGTAAACAGGAGAGTGGACATTTTGCATGTTGACCAAATAAAAAGCTAAAGTATACATCAAGTTTTCCAACAGGTAGGTCTAGGACAATAACACCTTTGAGGATAAAATTTTGCTAGGTTACTTTAAGTTATATGACATCAACTCCTGAATTGCCTATGAATTTAGTTTTTAAAAATTTAATTAGCATTTGGTAAATTTTTAAAGTAGAAATTAGATATGTGGAATGCAATTGAGAGTCCTGGGAGTAAATAGAACATTTTAAAATCAGTAGAAGCATAACTAAAAGGCGTCTAGTCTTAGCTCCTCTGTGTATTATTTGTTATTAAACTTCATAAATTCCATTGATTTCAACCAAAATGAATCTAGTTTCACCCCAAAAGTTTTAGAGTACACCCTAGACCTTCAGGTAGGTTGACTTGAGTAAAGAACGAAAGTACCGAAAACCGGAAAGCAGATTTTTTTAAATATAGAGAAATTTTCATTTTTAGTTTTCAAGAGGGCCATTCACATTGAACGTGAACAGTGCTCTTTTAAATGTCTCCAAAGTGTTTTTTGTATTTGAATGTGTTTTTTTTTTAATGTGGCCTAATCATTCTAACTGCTTGCAGGCAGAGAGATTTCGGAAACAGACCCCCACCAAAGCACTCTGTGTGTTGGCGTCCATCGAAGTCTTATACTTGTGGAAAGCCCTCCCTAACTGTTCCCTCCCCAACCTACAGAGGATGAGTCAAGGTAAAAGCAAAAACAAAAAAATGCACTTCGACTTACTTTGCCAATGCTCCTTTCATCTGTTTCTCGTGAACATTATCTGATTCAGAAAGTACAAATCTGTCATTCTCAGATAAAGGATGTAGCGATGGAGAAAATTCATTGCTTGGTGATGGGAGGAGGAGGCTCCGGTATTTATAGATCTGCTTGCCTTGTTAGAAGTTCATGGTGATGCTCTTATTGTAAATGTTATCAATTCTATAGCTGTGCGGTTTGTTGGAGCATACTTTGTCCCAGAGAAAATACTCTGAATAAAAAGCACAGATTGTATTGGGCTGTCAGAAGTGTCAGGACATATTTTTTATATATTTCTCTATGCCAAAATGCATTATGACTTTTCTGATGACCCAATAAAATGTACAATGAGTTTTAACAAGTGTACGCACCCTGGTATCCACCACCACAATTAGGATAGAGAACATGTCCACCACCCCCAACTTTTCCCTCGTTCCTCTTCCCGTCAGTCTCATGTCAAGGCAGTCACTGTTCTGATTTCTTTCATCATTGATCAGTTATGCTGTCCTTGAACTTCATGTAAGCAGAACCAAGTATGTATTTTCTTGAGCATAGCTTCATTTGTGCAGCACAACATTTGTGAAATTCATCGTGTTCTATCCTGCATTAGTGGTTGGTATCTTTTTTTGAAGAAAGGATTTTGCTACAGGGCACATGCGCTCGCCAGAAAGACAGAGACACAGAGACTGAAAGCAAGAAATCACCCCCGAGGGGGGATTGGCCACACTGCAATCCCTTCTCCCTTCTCCTCTCGAGATCTTGGGCATGCATACACAGGCGTCCAGTGTGAGTTTAAGCTGCCAGATCTGGGACTCAAACTGCGGTCAACTCCATGGGAGTGATGTAACTATTAGGCGATCTGCTTGTCTCTTCTTTTTTTTTTTTTTTTTTTTTTTTTGAGAGAGATTTTTGTTATAGGGTGCATGTGCTCGCTGGAAAGACAGAGAGACAGAAAGTGAGAAATCACTCCCTGGGGAGGATGGCCACTCCTCAGTCCCTTCTCCTCCATTCTGCTCTTGGGATTTTGGGCACTCATACACATGCACCTGGCATGAGTTTCAAGCCACCAGGCCCTGGACTTGAACTGTGGTCACCTATGTGGGAGTCCAGGGACATAACCATTACGCCACCTGCTTGTCCCAGTAATTGGTATCTTTTACTTGCAGTTTTGGGTAGCTATATCTATACCACAATTTGCTTTTTCACTTACCTATTAATGAGCATTTGATTTATTTTTGGTTTTCTTGCTGTCTTAAGTAAAACTGCAACAAATATATGTGTACAATGTAAGTTTACAATTCTTGTGTGTAGACATACGTGCTCATTTCTCTAAGAAGATGAATAGCTAAGAGTATAATTAACAGCCTAAATTTTTAATTCGTGTATTAGAAAAACCATAAGACAATAGGTTATGATTAACATAACCTCGATATAGTCACTT